CGAAAACAAAAAGATGATTTTGATGTTAGATCAGAATCTGAAATCAGAAGCAAGACCTCGACAAAAATCAGAGAATATCACTAAAACCCTAATGAATCTGCACGATCCCTCACACAAATGCCGAATATCAGAGGCTCGTATTTATAGCCTCAAAAAAGGCCGGCTCCATCAGGCTTGAGCAACCGGAGAACCCGGCGGCTCAAGCAGCAAAACTCGGAAACCCGGCTGGAGTGGACATGTGGGTTGAAAGAACCCAGATCTGGAGAGGAAGAAGAAGAGGAGACGAGAGGAGATAAGAAAGAATAAGAAAAGTTAAAAAAAGTCATGTGGGCCCCATTAAAAGGGAAAGTTTAAAAGGTGAAAATATGACATGTAAAAAATTATGTCACGTGTAAAAAAAAAAAATACTATAGTAACAAAATTTTCATAGTTGGATTTACACGTCATTAAGATTCAAAAAGTCTAATAATTTTTTAGCATTTTAACGAGCCACCTGTCATTTAACTGACGAAATGACCATTTTGGTACCGAAAATGAAAATTAGAGGATAGTTTTGGTGCTTTTTAAAGGTAAGGGACAATTTTGGTACCAAAGTGAAAAATTGAGGGACCAAAATGGTACTTAAACCTTAGTTTAATTTATGATTATTGAAATTAATAAATTTTAATTAAAATAAATTAATCATGTTTATTAGCTTTAATTTGAGATAATTTGATTCATTTAATTATCTTAATTAAAGATTAATAAATATGATTAATTAATTTTAATTAATATTAAATTAATTATTTAGTTAAATTAATTATTTTAATTAATTAATTTATAATCTTCTATTTGCCTTAATCTCGTTAAAAAAAAATCAAAATTATCTCTTTTATTTCAATTTCGCACAAACCTTTTGTGATTAAGCAATTTAGTCCAAGGGTTTAACTCTTTTCAAATCAGTCCTCCATGTTTCAAATTTAGTCAAATCAATCCTTTATGTTTTTTTTGAATTTAATCAAACTAGAGCCTCTTAATTTTTACTTGTGTTCACTGTGCATGCATGTCTTTGATTTTGTCCATTTTAGTCCAAAACGTTAAAAATGTTGTAATTTGGTTTATCTCCTTTTCAAGCTTGTTTATTAAGACCCAAATATAAACATGATGAATAAGTTGAATCAAAACCCCCAATTTTAAAGTATGCAACCGTGTTTAAACGAAGGATTGTGAGGTGCGCATATACCTTATATGCCCTTCCTCACTCCTACCAAACCCCCGAATCCCACCTTATAATTTAGACGAGTGACAACTCCCTTTTTCTTATATATTTCACACTTAATTTTTCATTTATTTTGAAACAATCTTAAGTGGTCATCAACAATTGTCCTTAAATGAAAAGAATAAAAAAGCCTTAGAGTAGAAATTTCTAGAATCTGGACAACATATTCAGACTACTGTTGGTTTGAACATGTTTTCTAGACCAATAGTGGTCCAAATATGTGCAGCAAAATTCCTTTTTTTTTTTTCTTTTATGTGTCAAACTGTACATGATTCGTTTTATTCCCATTCAAACAACATGCTCTAAAAGTCTTGAATGCCATAGAATCTCACTCTTAAATGAACAATATTAAGCATGTACGTTTGTGGTTTTGGTAGAAACGGAGTTGGGGATTTGGTTAGTGATATTGTCTTTAAATGGAAAAAATGAAAAAGTCTTAGAGTAGCATTTTTTTAGAATCTGGACAACATATTCGATCACTATTGGTTCAAATATGTTTTTCAGACCACTATTGGTTCGAATATGTACAGTAGGATTCTTTTTTTTTCTTTCCTTTTACGTGTCAAACCGTACATGATTCGTTTTATTCCCGTACATAATACATTTTATCATATTAATTTACTTTTAAATGTAATCTTAATATAAAATATATTTTTTATATTAACATTATATTAACATTATTAAATTATTATACATTAATTACTTAAATTATAATTACAAAACAAATTTCTATACATTTTTTATAATATGCAATTTTACACAACATTTACAATCAAATAATAAAACAATTCTATACAAACAATTAAAAATATCTAACATATATTTTATAATATAAATTTGTTATAAATCACATATGTAAAAATAAATAAAATACCAATTTCTAATATGTTTCCTATAGTATAAAATTTTAACCCAAAATTCACAATTAAACAACCAAATATATTCATACAAATAATATCTATTTTACAAATTTATTTATTCAATATTAAATTATATTAATTTTCAAAAAATATAGAAAATTTTAAAAAAATTTGAAAAGAAAAAAAAAACTCACTTGAGGC